GGTGAACGTGCGTCCAGTGACCTTCAGTTGTCTCCACTGAGCATGTACTCAACTCGCATGTCAGCGTACTTTGGTAAGCATTCAAAACAGCTGGCCTCAGCAGTTGGTTGGTACCATTGCACTCACAGCGTCTCGTGGGCGACCGCCAAAACGCATCCGCACGTCAACGCATACAAGTGCATGGTCGACGTCTACACATGTGCTCCAAATTGGGCAACAGGTCTAGATGCAGCCTCACCAGCGGTATATAATTTCAATGTGCTCGAGTAGCGTCCAAGGTTGGTTCGAGGCTAGTGGGCACCAAGTCACCCTCCGGCGTATGCTGTGTCTGAAATTAGTGCTCGCAAGAAATAAGAGAGCATCCTCACACAAATGAAGTAACCGCTCACCGTTATCATTACGGGAGCCTATACCATGTTGGCCGCCCAGATGCAGCTCATCTGCGGATAATTTTCCAACTTGAGCGTTCAGATCCCCAGCCAGCACAACAGTGTCCAAGCTTCTTCTGTGGCTAAGGAGCTCGTTCAGCTGACCGCCTTTTACCGAGTCATCGCTACCGTTTGTCGATGCATAGGCAGCGATAACGAACAGACATCTGTTAGTCCCACGCGACATCAAAGTTTTGAACGAGCCAGCCAATCGGACCGCATATGTCCGGCTATTGATTGGAATCCAATCAACCAGAGTAGCTTCAGTCAGGGGACTCAGGGCAATACCAACACCGGCTTGGCCGGTGCTCGAAGTTGCATCGTCACCGGATAGGCGTAATGAGAAAGTGCTGCTGGTGTCACCTGAATGGGATCGCAAAGGGAGCACTGAGCTCGAGTCTTGCAGGCGGGTCTCCGATAAGCAGCAGACGTCGATCGAGAGGGTCTCTGATGTTCGGGCAAGTGCTGCCTGTTGACCGATCTGAAGCAAGGTGCAAACATTGAGACATGTCAACCTGAAGCAGGATCGAGGGCTCCAAATGGAAGCCGATGAACTGGAATAGGCCGCTTGGTTGGACATGGGCCAGTTGACAGGGCAGGAATGACGCTGCGCGTTCACATGTAAGTTGAAACTAAAAGACAAGCGACTATTGAAGCAAGGTGAGGGAGGGTCGAGAATTGGGTGTTTGAAAACAGGGCGGATAAAAGTGAAGCTGGAAAGGGACGATAAGGGTGCAAAGCTCAAGAAGGGGAATAAGAAGACGTGGAGGCTTGGGCAGTAGCATCCAAACCCCTATCCACCCTGCCTGTTGCAGCAGATAGGGCACCGTTGATTATCCTCTGTGGTGGCCAGAGCATCAGAAATTTGTTTGAAGTGAGATTCATTGTATTGCGTGGACAGGATAATGTCAGGTTGCCCAGGCCTAGACAGGAGAACGATTAGGGTTCTTAACCAAAGCCTTTGGTTCAAAAACCTGGCCGCAAGGCATCGGGTTTGGCGTGGGCTACAAGGAGTCCGTTTTAAGGAATAAGGTGCCACCGACATTCCAACCCCAAAGCTGGAGGACCAGGAGGCTGAGTTTGTCTGGCCTCTAACCATTGACCAATCTGGTTTGAGTGACTCTGAAGGTGCAAAAATGCACCACCCAGTATAGCTCAATGGATCACTGAGGCACACAAACCATCGCACCACGGTAAGGTCCAGCCTCATTGAGATGGATGCTATTCCACTGAAGCTCAGTGTCATTAGGATAAGCCAGCAAAAGTTCGGTACGCAGTGTGTCTTGATAGACTTGTCTGACCGAGGGCTGAGACAATTTATCAGTTGCCAATCGGAGGAGACGCTTGGTGCGCATCCCGGTAAAGTTCATGGAGAAACGACAGCATACTAAGGCATGATCAGAGCCGTCGGCGCAGGTACTCCAGTACGAGCGGCAATACAGGATGGGACCACGCCACCTGTAACTTATGACTATGTAGTCAATTTGGGTCAATCACTGGCCAGTTACAGGAGAAAGCTAAGTGGCACTTTGGTGCGCACTGTCTAAAAGCAGTGCTACTAAGCAACAACTAGTGCTCCGCACACAGTTGCAGCAGACGCTCGCCGTTGTCAGTCCGTTCGAAGTTAAACCCATATTCACCACCGAGCTAAGCTTCCGACAAGCTCAGATGCCCTAGTTGTGCGTTCATATCCCTAAAAGTGTTATAATATCTGAACTAGTAGCACTGCTTAGTAGCGCATTCATATTGTGATAGAATGTTTCCTTGGCAGCATTTGAACTGCCATTAAAGGAGGCATAACCAGAAAACACAAACAAACGGCGTTTTCTACTATTTCGTGAAACAACTTTAGCTGATATCATCAAACAGGCTGTACATAAACGGCTGTTTACTGGAATCCAATCAACCAACGATGGCTCATTCATGGAGCTTAGAATCATGCCTACCCAAGCTTGACGCGTGAGTGCTGCATCAGCGGCTTCGGATGCGTACAACCAATAAGGGGATAATTCAACAGCTTTATGAGAGTCTTTTCTGCTACACAACACACGTCAATGCCCAGCATGTATAATGTGTGTGCGAGTTCAGCCTGTTGACGTGTTTTTCTTATAGTGCGAAGGTCAAACGCCTCCAAGGAAACGGCAAAGCGTGGCCTTAAAAGAAACTTTCGTCGATAGGCATCCGATGGGTGTTGTGGGAAGGTGGCTGCAGATGGTTCTACTCCAGTGGCACATCGGTTGCTGGCAATTAGGCTAGGAATTATAGCATTAAGGTCAGTAATAGGTTCGGGATGGGAGCAAGAGAAATAGGTGGAAAAGAAAGAAGAGAGGCGCCAGTTGTAGAATGTTTTCACTTATCCGCGCTACTGTGTGTGGCAGATAAGGCGACCCTTGATGAGCTGCGCGACGGCCAATGCAGGATGAAGTTTATGTTTGAAGAAAAAGTCTTGTTTTTACGTGGGTTGAGATACTGCCAAAACACCCAGAACCAGACAGGGGGACTACTAAGTTCCTAAACCAAAGCTTTTGGCTCAAAAGCCTGTCCGCAAGGCAGCAGGAAGTGGCAATGATTTAGTTTTACAGAAATAGATGCCATCCCATTTCAAACCCCCAACGTAGAGGACCAGTAGACTACGTTTGCCTGACCTCTCGCCATTTATTAAACTAGTAGGAGTAGCTCTCGAGGGGCTTGGAGGCACCACCCAATATAGCTCAATGGGTAAAGGAAGCAGGCAAACCCTCGCACCACGTTAAAGTTCAGTCTCCTTGCGACGGTGAAATTGGAGCACTGGACGGAAGTTGGTTAACTGCACCCTGAAACCCCTCTCGATCAAAGTAACTTAACTTACACAGTCTTGCGCTTCTTGGAACTTCACTGGTTATTCACTTATGCTGGAAGTCGCGTACATCTACCATTTGAATGAGGTCGGGAACTTCCCTGTGCAAATGCCGACAGACTTACTAAAACATTCTCTGTTGCTGTACACAAATACGTTGTCTTCAGTTTCCAAATAACCTCATATCTATCAGTGTTGCATTCTCACTTGTCATTCACATATTGAAATTATTTTTAAGGTGTTTTATAAATGGTACCGAGGAGACCCTGAAATGCACGCGGGTACAAGCTTTCGCTTTCATACTGTGTTTTAGTATCCTACTATCAAAACAGTTAGTAGTTAGATTGGAGTAGCGGAAACCCTGTTTCCCGGACTAGATTGGAATTGGACCTCGATGGTGGAGCGATGATGGCGATGGATTGGTCTGGTTAACACAAACTGTTTTAATAATTCAGAATGTTCAGATAAACACTGACGAAACAACGATGAGGCAAAAAAGCTAGTGACAAAAAGTAGTTTCCAAACGCTCTTCCAGTTCCTACTGTGAACTATACGCACTGTCACATTATCATCGTTTCCACCACGAAGTTTATCGAATCTCGTAATATCTTTCTTGGATTCTATAAGGGTAACAGGAGTAGTTTCCTATGAGTGCTTAAACAGAAGCCTGTTCACACTGCTTACAGATGAATGGATAACAAACATTTTACTGTCTCCCGTTGATGACAAAGTAAGTTTGAATAAGATAGGAAGTTAGAATATTTTTTCGCTAGCCAACTGTGATGAAGGCCTCAGGCTTTCATCCCTCTGGTCCAGCACGTGATAAAGAACAAAGTACTGGTCACGAACACAAAGAAACTAGAGTAACTGCATATAACATTCTTCTGGAGGCTGTAACCGTTCAGACTAACCAAATCAGAGTGGCCAATCAGCCTTAGCAGTTCCTCGCGGGAAATAGCCTCGGGATAGTTGCAACCATATTTTTGAATACTAGCTTACCAAGCGGTACCAGCGAATCAAACAAGCTGTGTAGGAAATCTGCTTTTAGCATGCCATTTAAACTTGACTAGAGTGACGTGTGTATCGAAGGAGAAGCAAGAAGCATCGCTATTCCAGGAAAAGCAAGATGAATTACCCGGGTTGTCTGACGAAACGGTTCATCAGGTAGCGTGGTAATAAGGTTGGAATTATAGTCCAAAACGAGGGGCATGCGAGGTGCCGGTTCACGGCTTACAGCATCCAAACATTTATAATTCCAAACTTACCCATATTTATGGTATGAAATACTGGAACGAATTCACATTGATATTTGTTTTGGGAGACAGGTAATTTGGTCTTCAGACGATGGAACAATGGTTTAGTACGGGTACAAGAGACAGAACTTTACAGATCATGGTAAGTGTTGCTAAGTCTGGAAATGTGCCAGTAAAAGTGAGTTCACATCGATGGACTCACCGAAGTATCCGTTTGCAAAATCATAAATCTGCCAAGAATCCATAACGAATGACGACAAATGGGAAGCTAGTGAAAGTCCATTATTTGTAATCGCGTTCACTATATGACAGCACACATATTGACATGCTTAGGCATCAGGCGATCTAGGGGACATAATCTGGAGCTTCCTCACTCGTCTAAGCATTTTGCCCTTCAACTGCTCATTAACATTTGGTATTTTATCGACGACTTCCCTAGGCTATTCCATTCTAGTACTTTGTTAGCATTTCTGTTTTTTCCAGACTCTTCTCAGAGTGCCCACTCTGACTACGTATGCGAATCGCAGATGACAGAAGCGCAACCAACTAAGAACATGTACTTTCAGTCTTCTCAGCGACGCAACCAAAGTCCTCGTCACATGGAAGTTTATCCTGCTAGTTCTGCGGCTCACTCACAAAGGTCCCACTCGCCATCACTGGCGACTACGATCACGGTTACTCCGCGCAGACTGCCCCAAGTATCACACACAACTCCACTGCACCTACGCTATCTTCATTGGGGTAATTTGTCTTCAGCGCAGGTGGAAACAAATGGCGATTTAGCTGGGAAATTTTTACAACTTTTCCATCAACCGAACATGCATCCCCATGCCAACCGTATCGGCATACGCCATGATAGAGAGCGTGAGGGATTGTTCGGGCCACCGGCCTGGCGAAGTTGGCGTAGCTGGGTCGATTACTGACCATTTACGTGGCAATGTGCTAACATATTACACCGACCCCTCATTCATATCAATCAATTTTGTGCGTTGATACTACCTTGTTTGTAGATTTACTTTGTATGGTATATGTAAATACCGATCAATCTGATAGAAATTGCTCGTAACAATCGCTTAACTTGGTGAGTGCTTCGTGGTATTCTCTGAAATACCATCGTCTCTTCTCGAGTTTCCTTGATTCTCTAAAAAATAAACCCTCTTACAAACTGCCGTACAGCTTCGTATGTTACGAACCTATGCTGGTAAAGATGGAAAAGTTGCTTAACAAAATATCTAGCTTTTTCGATAAAGACAACGTGAATGGTATTCAAACCGAGCGCTTCCACATGTAACTAGGGTGGATAAATGGCTTATGCGGATCAGTGAGCTGACAAGCCACCGGGGTCCATGTTCTTGATCGTCAAGTCTTGACGCGTATGCGCATCTGCCTTTCACTAGCCGTCAAGTCGCAAGCGTTATGTGACAACACTATGAGAAAGCAGTCGAATGCCCCAAGTCAGTTTGTTTTGATATGGGTCCCTGAGAAGAGCTAAGCAGCATTCAGTAACTACTGCTCACCTTGTCCATACCCGCTGCTTGAAGAGTACGAGTATATTCATAAAATTTGTTCGTGATATGAGTTGAAATTCATCACATTCAGACACATCCGGTCAAGCACTGAGCGACCTTTCGATGTTTCGGGAATCACCAGCAGTGCGCATTCCGTTTCATCCGTGTGGACTATAACCCTTAAACCGACGTCACCAGTTCCGTTTTGGCCGATGTGATATAGCTCAACCCACCCTCTACTGAGTTTCACGTACTATAGCTCAGAGGACAAAGTAGACACCAATGCTCTTCTGGATGTGATGGATATCTGCGTCAAGAAGTGGAACTTAACAGTAACAGTAATAGCAATAATAATAATAAAAATACCTATATTTCCCATGTTCCAAGAAACTGTTTCTGGAGTGGAACAGTAATTCTGTACAAAAGTAACTATGCTGTTGCATGGGCGATATGCTTATGTGGAACATTGGAGCATGCGATTCATGTATTAGCGTTTTGATGGATGTTTGTGGCTAAAGTCAAGGATTGGAAATATGAGCGTTTATATGTTTTTGAGCCCCACTTGGATAAGCTCATCGAGGCATTCTTCCCATATGAATCTAGACAACATGGTATTTGGATCAAGATAACTGGATGGTTTGCTAATTTATTGTTGCCACATTTCCAGCTGCCCTGAATGTGTTTGACACTTTATTACACAAGATACATAGCTCTTACCAAGAAGCGATTTTATGATAGGTTGATTCTAGGCATCGGTATATTTAGCATATCATCTTTGTTGCGAAGCTCTCGAGTTGAGACATATTGCATTTCGAATACAGGCAGGTCGTTAGGAGTCTTTTTATGTAACAGGTTGGAAAGTAGCATCTAGTTGTGCTTCAGTCGTCTAATCCAAATTGGCTCGAGTCGAAGCTCCTTGCAACCTAGTTGATAATTCATGAAAGTGCTTACTAATTAGCTGTTTAGTAAAAGATCTCTGCTGGTGTTCCATGGCAATCCTGTCATTTTTTTCTCAAATTACCGTATATTAGGCCCCAGCACTGGAGGATGGAGAAGGTGAATGGCTTACAAGCTCAACTCTAGCATAACTTCTGTGGATTTTGTTGGATATATCAAACACAGATTGCCTGGAACTTACAACTTAGTATTGGGCATGTCCAGAGAAATTGAAAGTAGCTGTGTCCCTAATTCTGAGGTCGAAAGTGGACAGGTGTGTGGGGACTTGTTCATTTTTTACTACAATAGGACGTTCGGGGATGGAACAGACATGATGTTCGATTCCTCGGCCAAAAGGTTCATCATTTACGCATGGCACCATGACTCCAGGAAATATAACTCATTTTGAATGAGCCGTAGAGTTGCGTGAAGTTAGTCACGCCAAAGTTTATAGACGATCTTGATGTTGTCTGCGAATACAAATGGTCGACCATGTTTTATGCATGCGGTGATGTCATTGATGTCAAGCATGAACAGTGAAGGACCGAGTACACTCTCTTGAATAACCATGCTAATGGTGAGGCGTGGAGAAAAAGCGATAATCACCTAAAATGACTACCAGATGGAGATCACGCAGGTATGGCGATAGCCAACCCAGCAATGGATCCCGGCTACAAAAAACCTCCAACTTTGTAGAAACCGCTTGTGAGGTACTCGGTCGAATGCTTGGTGTATACCCAGAAGTAGCGTTATTACTGCGTCGCCGGAATGGATAGGATCTGAAATGTAATTCAGATAATGCAATTGGCAGTGATACACGATCGCTTGTCAAGAAAAGCATGTTGTGGATTATTTATCTAGCCCAAGTAATTGGCAAGGTTCATCACGTCTTTTCTGACCAGTTCTGCAAATAACCGTGCAATTGTTGCCGTATGGCTAGTTGATCCGTAATCATCAATCGTTTGTTTGGTATCTGCTTTGTGCCGAGGATTCATAAACGACGTTTTCATTAATCTGGCAAGTGGCTAGATTCCAGCGATAAGGTAAAGAATGTCATCAGGAGCAGTGGTATGTCAGGCCCTCTTAGTTCAATGCCAGTTGGTGGAATTCCACCAGATCCCAACTTGGAGAGTGGCCTGATTGACTTGAGAACTTTGTGGATTTCGATCAGAGACATATCGACTAAATTTAAGAGGCTTGTTAACTTAACTTTTGTGCACGGTCACAAAGTCAGCTTCGAGACACATGGAAGAATAGAAGCTGTCACTGAATGTTTCACAGATTGCAGCTGCGTTATGAAGTGGCCCTCACCGTTGACAATATCAGTAATTAAAGGAATGCGGTCACTGGTCGTTCGACATAATAGTTTGACAAGCTCTCTCCTCTTACAGCTTATTTGTAGGGTTATCTGTCTTTAATTTTTTCCTTGCGTTGATTGCGCATGTTTCACACTGGTGATAAATTCGTGCGTTTGGTAGACAAATTATCAGTCATGGATTTTCTGAAGCCTGTTGTCTGCCCCATAGCCCAACAGACCACAAGCCTGGCTTGTAATCCGAAGGCGCGGATTCGAGCCTGTGTAGGTGACAAGGCGAGCTTCGTTGGACCCTTAAAGTTCACGCTAACTGTTGGAGATTGCGCAGCATCGAAGCGTCGGTATTGCGTACCGGTGTACTACTAACAACCTATTTCATTCTGAAGCTTGCAGATAATTTTCTGGTTTTCTGGTTGTTTGAGTGTTTGACGGTATCTTTGGAGACATGAGAAATACGCTCACATTGTGGAGTAAGGGGGCTGTGAAGCAATTGATTTGCCATTAAAACATACCGACTGTCGTGTAGCCCTCCGGGAAGCAAGAAGACTGGGCGGCGATCACGAAGTCATTTATTAAGATTAGGCTCGAATGTTTATAGTATATATACACTGTTTACAACAGTCCGTCTCAATGGCTCTTCCCTGTTATTTGTATTGTGTCGCTGGCTCCCTTTCCATTGGTTTATGCTTGCTCGCGACGTTCGCTCAGTCTAAATCACCTTGGCTTTCTTAGTCGATGTACGATTGGCGGGATTGGGTCCGCGAGCTCCTTTCCTCGGTCCAACGCCATAAGTCTTGGCTCAAGGGTGCGCGAGTATGCGCTCCTTCGTCTGCTGGCGCTTGATTGGTCACTTGCACGTTCAGTGGATAGTTGCATGGTGGTCGTGATAACGGGCCAACTATTTCCTGATTGGCTGACCACTCTGCTTCGGCAACATGCTCACTGTTTATCGGTCTGGCCTGTGACGTTCGATCGGCATTATGGCGTTTCCAATCGCCAGCATTTCCAGCCCACATCACACCGAGTAATCCCATTTTGATCATGATACGCTGAAACCCAACCCACGAAGGGACGGCTCACGTATAACAATAGTAAATGCACGTAAATGTGAAGAATTGAAGAATGGGAAGTGTTGAGCACATGTTTTTGTGGTGAATATGCACAAACATATATCCAACAACTTTACCCGTTTGTCAAAACTCACAAGTTGAAACAGTCCAATGCGTAAGGATTCATCGTAGGGCTAGTGGGCAGTTTCTGTTCCTGTTGCTATGAGGTTGCAATCTTTTCAGGTGCAGAAATGCAACTACTTTGAGTCGCAACCAAGTCCTGTTAGTTTGTTCTTTTCTTGGCCAGGTTTCGACCAACTCTATAGGTACTTCAAGTAGCAAATTAGAGAACTGCTTATAAAAAACTCCAAAAAACGCTTCTACCATTTGTTTTGACCTGGTGGTACATTCAGCGCTCTCAGACCATATCTTTTATTGGTGGGTATTGGTGGCAGCCTTGGCATTGACTTAACAAGCACATCATTGATGGAGAGTGTTTCGCTCGTTCAAGTTTGAGCTTCGGCCTCAAACTCATCAGATGTATGAATTTCAGAACACTGTGGACAAGAACGATATTTTTATCGTTGTGTTTACGATATTTAACGGGGTTCTACTTCCGTTGCTGAAGCTCCCACTAACGGAGGGATTGAAAAATATGAGCACTGAAAGACAAAGTCCCAAGTGGGGGTGCCCACAAGAATAGTTCGTTAGTTCATCACCTGGCTGAAGTGCCAATTTAAGTGGCGCCGACTAGACAGAGTGAACTGGGTTTGGGTGGTTGACAATCTTAATTAGTCACCTGTTTAGGTTGGACGTATATTTGATGAGAACTGGAGTAATACTCAACCACGGCTTTGTCAGTTGCTACTGATATCTTGACTCAATTAGCGCCAAAACGAAATACAGTTTAGATCAATTCTTCATGTAGTACCGATTGCGCTAATTCAGTCTCCAAACAGTTATACCAACTCTGTATGATAATATTTGGTAACTGTTCGGGATCTTCGTTCATGTAGTGAAAGGGGATGGAACATGCATCCCACAAGCATTTAGGTGATCTATCAGTGTTTGACCGGTAAAATAATGTACGCATGACGTTAAGCAACGACCATCATCGTTGCTTTCTTCTTCAGGCAGTTTCACATTGAGTCCGGTTGGCTTTGAATATATAAGGTATCTATTCAACACAGCACATAGCCACGTAATCGATTTTCAAAGGGAAGTTTAATACGAGAGCAGAGCAGTACGTTTCCGGATACGCAGTACACAGATCAGGTGCAGACGACTTGTCAAGAAAATATAGACTGTAATACACATTGTACATTGTTCAGTGATTTCAA